GCAGCAGGAGGCATTGTGCCACACACAAAAACTCTGCTCCATGTTAAAATACGTGCTTCACTAAAGCTCATAAAACAGTTAAAAACTTGAGTCACAATCATCTGGCAGGTCCTACCCCAGCAATAAATTATCTTTTTTACTGATGACATGTTTTAATGTTAGAATTGCCCTTTTTTGTGTGTGTAATGTTTTAAAAGTTTGTCATGTTAAGGGGACTGTTAAAATCTTTAAAAGTGAGGTTATGTGGAGAAAATGTTATGAATAAATACCATCTTACCTGTTGTAGATAGCTCTTTGATCAACCCCCGTTTGGAATAGATATATTATTTCTGACCAGATAAACAGCTGTGAGAGCAAAGTGGATTACTGTCAGAATTTTACAACACAAATCTAAATAAGTATTTAAAGATGTTCATATAATTTAGTTAGCACTTATAAATATTTGAGACAGTTGTTGTTAATACAGTTGTAGTCCACTCAGTCAAACTAGCTTTTAGCTCGTTAATATTTTCAGAATAAAATTCTAGTTTTCCCCAAACGGAGATTGCGCAGTGCTATCTTCAACAAGTAAGATATTAACCGTTCGTAATGTTCCCACAGAACTCGACTTCAAAAGACATGAACTATCTCTTTAAACAAGTAGCTTTCCCCAGCTTCAGTTTGAGCAGATTTATCAGACAACCTAGTTTAAAAGAACTCAATATCTAAACTCAAAGTCAACTTTTGGGGCTTGTTCTCAAGCGTTCAGACCTGCGATCAGCTGAGAACATAATGAGGAAAATAAAGTCCGGCAAAACATAAGTATACGTTTGAAAGTAATTTATTGCACTATAAATATTACTAAATCAGCTTTCAAACAGAGTTTAAAGCAATTCAGATACTATGAACAGCTGATTTGAAAGAAAATATGTTTCAGAGACGCATTATTTGTTTTCCAAATTTTGACCAGGTCAGCAACTCCAAACTTTACCTGAGTGGAGGTGGTGGTGAGAGATAAAAGATATCTGGGCCACACACAGAGAGTGATGTCACAATGGGCCTTTATGTTGGACTCATTTGTATCACAGGAATTAGGAAGAGAGCCAACAGCCCGCAGCTCCGTGCCGTCATCTAAACCACTTTCAAACATTATACTTCACATTATTGTGTGAATGTTTATGAAGCATTCACACTATTGTGATCCATCTTTCTCGTTCCACAGTTTTCAAGCTATTTCAACAAATCATATATTAAAATGTTCAGCTCGATCAGGACAAGTTTGGTATTTGGTATATATGATGACGTTTGGTATTGCAACTTTAGCTTGTTGAAATATTTAGCCTTTTATACCGATAATTTTCTCATAGGAAATTAATTGAGCTCATTGTCCATCCTTCAGATCTGTTTACCTTTTACTGCCCCTTTCACATTTTGTTCTGCTTCTACTTTGTACAAATTTAAACTTTTTTCAGCTACTTTCAGCTGTTTTGTGATCCTTTCAAATTCTTTCAACTAACTACAACATTCTTGTGCTTCTTCAGCTTCTTTCTGCTAATTTCATCTTATGCTCATTTCAATTTTTTCTACTAGTTTCAGCAATTTCAGCTACTATTTAGCCGTTTTTTTGTTGTTGCTAATTTTTAATTTGTTTCAGATAATTCCAAATTGTTTTCACTCATCTACACTTTTTTTTTTTGCTTAATTCAGCAAAAATTTGCTCTATTCACTTCCTTCTGGTAATTTACTCTTTCAGCTTGTTTAGCTACTTTACTGTTCTTGCTAAATTCAGGTTTTTTTCCAGTTAATTTCCACTATTTTGTGCTAATTTCTGCTTCTTTCAGCCTATATGTGCAAACGTGTTCTTTCTGCTTTCTTCTACTAATTTAAGCTTGTTCTAACTTTTTAGCTATGTTTTTAATATTTTTAGCTAATTTCAGCCGTTTTCAAATTCAAGTTTTTTGTGGTAATTTCGGCTACTTTCAACTTCTTTATGCTCATTTCAGCTTGCAATGCTCGTTTAAGCTTTTTTCTGTTAGTTTAAGCTTTTTCTGCTCTTTCAGCTACTTTTAGCTGTTTTATGCCAAGTTTAGCTTTTCAGCTAATTTCTTTTTTTTAGCTTATTTCAGCTCTTTCTGTTTCCTTCTGGTAATTTAGGCTTCTTTCAGCCTTTTATGCTTAATTTTGCTAATTTCAGCTTTTTCAGCTACTTGCCTAATTTGGTGCTCATTTCAATTTATTTTAACCTTATTCAGCAAATGTGTTCTTTCTGCTTTCTTCTGCTAAATTAGGCGTTTTCTTTCATTTCAGCTACATTTCAGCATGTTTTCGCTAATTTCAGCTGTTTTTCAGTAAGTTCTTCAGCAATAAGCATTCACATTGCATTTTCAAAGAAAATGCTATTTCTCTAGTTACCATTTATTTTAGAAAACATGTCAGATATGTATAATGTGAACTAGCATTCACCGTACATGTTTTTCTGAAAAACAACTACATTTTAAAATGTCACAACAACATAAAAATGCAAAAAGAACAGCTACTTGAGTGTACGTATTTTAGTCACCAAGATGATGCAATCAGGACAGGAATCCAGTAAAATCTAAAAGATGTTAAACCTCTTTAAAGTTTTTTTTTTTTTTACAAGATAGAACAAAACTTAGGACCACAGTTGATTATTACCGTCTGGATTAAATAATATTTTTAATAATTTAATCTTTCCATTCCAAATGTGTTTTAAATAATTTATTCACCATTTAAAATGAACAAAAACCAACAAATGTCAGACTCGACAAACACGTGATCTTGTCCCTACCAGAGAAGACGCCTAATCAACTTTTTAAATTGAAGATGAAAAACTCTGAATTATTGTCAGCTAACATCACAATTGTGGAATTACTTTTATTATTCTTCGTCCCCCCCCCCCCCCCCCCCCCGAACATTAGACGTCTAACTCTGTGCTCTTGTAAATACTGTCAAAAATCAGAATAAGAAGCTGAAGTTCAGTTGGAAAACTGTGCAACTTTAGAACTAATGTTGCAACTAAATCACAAAAAAACAGGAGTGGAAGAGATTACTAATATATAAAATTGAACAGACTGAAAATAATCACAAGGTTTGTGTTTTCACTGGTGTTTAAATGCTTTTCTTTGACAGCATCAACAGGAAACATTGACTCCATGACATTATGGAGGAGTTAGGACACAATTACAAACTACTGACACTTAAACACGTTACAGCCAGTACCACAGCCAGTCTATTACACCTCTGACGACTGCAACAACAAAATACCTGTAAAACGTAACATTACAGTTTTGTCAAAACTAATCAGATAGCAGAACTACACGAGCCATTCTTCTGCTGGTATAAGGCCACTGCAACGTTGCTGAGGTATCAAAGCAAACAAATCCAGGTTAGTTTACAGGAAAATGGAGCAAAACTAAAAGACACAGCAGCAGCGACGGAGATTCAGCAGATTCTGAAACCCTGAATAAAAAGATGCTGAAACTCAGTCTCAAATTGTCAGATAATTAGCAGCATTATGGAGTGAGTCAGTAAGATTTCAACATCGTCACAGACATTACAGTGTTGTACATAAACAGCTACGCAGGCAAAAAGACTTGGTTGTAAAAAAAACCCACAGAATTTGCCTTTGTCAGTTTAAAAAAAACTAACTATTTAATATACGGACAAAACTAAAACGACGTTTATTGCATCTTGCTCTTTGCCAACCTGAAAATCATCTACTGAAGAAACGATACAAGGTTCAGATCATCTGAAGTCGGGTTCTGTGGAAAGATTATAAACAATGAACATCTTACCTGTTGCAGATAGCCCTTTGAACAACCTCAAAATGGAGAAAGAGTTTAATTCTGACCAGGGTTTAATTTGTAAACCGAATTATACTGGGCCAGCGCGGGGGGTGGAGTGGTCTGGGGGTCCTCCCCATAAAATCTTGAATAAAGTAGATGCCATTTCCTGGATTTTGGTGTATTTTAATGGGCTGTTAAATGTCTACGTTTACCTACCATATTTTTCGGACTATAAGGCGCACTTAAAATCCTTTCATTTTCTCAAAAATCGACAGTGAGCCTTAGAATCAGGTGTGCCCTATGTATTAATTATAGTTGTGTTTAATGACCTTGAACTGATTTTATGTGGTTATTGTGAATGAGTTGAATAAAGTTTGACTTATCTGACTGTTTTGTTTCACTTAATGCGCCTTATAATGTGCTTTATGTATGAAAACAGACCTGTTCATTGATATTAATGAACCTTATAGTCAGAAAAATGCAGTACATTTATAAACACTTGTTTCAGTCACTATTACACATATTACTATTCAATTACCTTCACTTAGCCTGACTCATCTGCTGAATTCAGTTCTGCGCGTTGTTGCTCCTGCCCCAATCTCGAGTGCCACAGCCTTCAGGTGCTTCAATTCCCGGTTGTCCATCCATCCATCTATTTTTTATGTAAGTAAATTGGACTGTCTTTTCAACATTTTGATCGCTGTTGTTTTGACAAATTAGCACCGTTGTTTTGATACGCGATGTGAATAATCATCATCTCTTGTTGTATTTTTAATAGAAAATCTACATTTTATTAATGACCCACTTAAACTGCAATTTAGTTGTGCTGTTTAATTATATTTTTGAGGGTTTTTTTTTAAATAAAAAATACACAATGACTTTGGAATTTTAGAGGCGGAGTTACCAGATCTGAGCTAACAGTTGCTGGAACGCACTCTGTCAAAATAAGAGAGTTCCCGGATCCTGTTCCGGCTCCACTTAAGCCCCGATTCTGACCCGACCGGTCCTAATAACTCTGGGTGGGAATCTTTAGGCACATAATGATTAACCAATTAGATTAAATCTTCAACAGAACCCCACTTCAAAATTTGAACTGTAACTACAATTTGCTAGTTAAATTCTGATACTGTGCATGTTATGATGATAACACAGTCAATGTCACTATTCAAAATGAATTAGTTTTCTCTGTTCTTTTGTCGTTTTGCGTTCAGGTTCCAACACATCTGGTTTCATTTCCAGCTCGGCTTCGTGACTCTGCTGGACGCCAACAAGTCTCTGCCGTGCACGGACTTTTCAGAGAAGCTGCTAGTCTTACGAATATCCTCCTGTGTTGGAGGTGGAGTCATGCTGCGATGGGTGCTGCGGCTGGTCGCCTTCACGCTTTGGACCCGTCTCAGGTTCGTCACCTGTGGCTCTTCGCTGGTGGGAACAGTCTGACTCTGCTTTGTGGAGGTTTTTCTACCGAGGACTGAGGGGCTACGAGATGGAGTGGAGGGGGCAGAAGTGGGTCCTAGCTCCTTTTTGCTCCTGGAAGATGAAGCCACGGTGTTACGGGCAAAGCTGGGGACATCCGAGGAGGTTTTTGAATTGCTTGCTTGCGAGATGCTATTTTCAGAAGAAGCACCACCCTGGCTCTGAGCTTGAGCCTGAGCGAGAGCTCTCATGGTGGAGCGGCACATTTTCTCCTCGGCCGCAGGCTTCGGGATGTTCCTCAGGGGTTTGGCACTCGGTTTGTGGAGGGAAGCTTTCCTCGGTGTGGAATCGCGCGCCCATCGAGAAATGCTGCCCGAGAGGCCACCACCCCTCTGGAGTTTGGACTCATCAGGGGGTACACTCGAGTGCCGATGAGGTCTCGTCGTCTTCTCGGCTCTTCCTCTCGCGGGAGTACTCTGATCACGGACATGCCGGCGTGTTTCTCCACCGTCTTGCTCCGAAGGTCTCTCTGCTCTTTTGCTGGTGCCAGTCCTGGTGAGCTTGTTGATGGGCACAACTTTCCTCAAGCTTTGGCTCTCGCTGCTGATCAGCGTTCGCACTCCTCGACCTCCAGTGCTCTTTGTCACTTTGTTGCTCTTGGTTGCTTTTCTGCCATTTCTCTGAGCGTCTTTACCCTGTTTGCCTTCAGCTGTGTCACAGCTCTCTGTGTCCCACTCTTCTGTGTTGAGAGGTGGAGTCACGGATGTTGCATCTACATGTTTGGACACTGGGAGCTCAGTGGTTGAGACAGACTGGTCATTGGGTGAAGTAGACTCCAAGTTAGAGGACAAATAGTTTGGATCTCGCTGGCTTTGCTGGTCATTACAGCAGTCAGTTCTTAGATGAAGTCCTTCTTTTGTAAGAGGTGAGCTTTCAGCCTCAGAGAAATCCAAGGCAACAGAACAGTCTGTTTCTGTGCAGTCTGGGATGTAAAACACTGATCTCTTACTGGATACAGAGGTATCTAGTGGGAGGGGAGTATCACAGGATGTTGATGAAACGGTGCTGTAGTCTTCTTCCTTCTCCCTCTCAGTCTGTGAGGGAACATCTACTTTATCTTCCTGCACTGCCTCTGGATCGGCTATTTTCTCTAAAACATGTTCATGGTGAAGATGCTCCTGATCCTTTTGAGGTGAGTGCATCTCAGTTTCCAGTTCTGTTACCACCACATCACGATGTTTGCCAAAGTGCACATGATCAGTATTGTTGTTTGGACTACGAAGGTTAAAAGCTTGAGGAGCTTGGACTAAAGTATGCTTCTCCACACTAACATTTATGTGACCAGGAAGAGTTGGGTTAGGAAGATAGGAGGGCTTCTGAAAGACACAAAAGGAATGAGGCAGAACACTACCCTCTGAAACGGTAGAGTAATTATTGTTGTCAAATACATCCTCGTTATCGTTCAGCCCAAAGGAGGAGAACCTGTCTGTTGAGTTTAAAGGTTCAGTTTCTGCGTGTGGAGATGTCGCTTGTCTGTCGCAGCCGAGCTCACGATTGTCATCCTGGCCTAAAATCCACGGGGTTGTTCTCCGCTGGTAAGGGCGACCAGACCGAGGTAGGCTGTAAAACTTAGAATAATCAGTGGAATCTTTTGTGCTTCCAAACAGCTCGAGGTACCCCTGAAGTTCACGATCTGCTATGGAAGTCATGGTGTGACGGTAACGGCGAGCGCTGGCAGAACGTCCAAGTGGGCTGTGTGGACTCTGAGACCTCTTCTGGAAGAAGTCCAGAAGGCCTTCCTTGGTGAGCATTTCCATGTCATTCTCACTGCTGCTGCGACCAAAGATGCTGCTGTGGTCCTCGGCCGACCATGCAAAACGCTTTTCCTCCAGTTCTTTCAACCGGCGCTGCCTGGCTGCTTCCTTCAGCTCACGGTCTGTGTTGTCCTGAGGGAAGCAGAGAGGTGGGAACATGTTAGAGGATTCATCAGATCATGGGGACATCCACTCATATACTCACCATCAAACAAAAACTACAGTAGTCCCTCGCTACTTTGCTGTTCGACTTTTGCCGATTCACTCTTTCGCGTTTTTTTGAAGTAAGATAGTACACAACACACCACTGTCAACTTTAATATTACTTGTGTGATTGGGACAGTACAGGATACAGTAAAAAGTTGACCAAAACATACTTCGGACAGGTGCCGCCATTTTGTAGTTTTCTCTCAATAAAGAACTACATTATCCAGAAGTCAACAGTGCTTCCGACCACTGCTTTCTGCTAAAACGGAGGGAAAGCTTTGATCCGATCTGAAAAAGTTCGGTCCTTATTCATAATGACTTTGGCCCTCAGTGGATGCAGAGAGACATACGGAACCGACCGGGAATTGGATCAGAACCGGACTTCCAGCGTCATCAGTTAGTCTGCTTGCCAGCCCATGAGGACTCTCGAGCGAGGAGGCGTTGCTTGGAGGTCCGGTGTTTTCTCTGGAGCTCACCGGGACATTTTTCATCCAGAGCCCTGTGGATTATTTGGACTCAATTGGGACCATTGTGTGGTTTTGTGCGGACTATCCGAAGGTCCGGCTCTCTCTAAAAGAGAGCTGATCAGAACCGGACCAGAACTGGACCAAGGCTGGTTAGTACCCATATAAAATTTTGCAGTACATAGTTACAGAACAATATATACGTATGTTGTTAAAATGATGTAGGTTTAAGAGTTTAGAACACAGCAAGAGTGTAGGTTTATAAAGCCTTAAAATATATATAAATACTAAAATAAATATATTGTTCCTACTTCGCAGATTTTCACTTATTCTGGGGGGTCCAGAACATAACCCACGCAATAAACGAGGGACTACAGTATTTCAATTAATAGAATTTCCAAACTGATACTTCCAACCAAATTTCACCACAAGATCATCAGAATTTCTTCAAACATGTTTAAATTTCAGGGGACAAGAGTCTTTGTGTCAAGCGAAGAAATTGAAAATCCTGCGATTGTTTTATAACATTCTGGTAATTTATTTTCGAATCCTGTTGTACAACTAGCAGTTGCAGCCCAGTGAGATGCTGCTTAAGCAAAAACGTTGCCAGTCAGTCCATGCGCCATTACTAAGCAGATAATTTGCGCTGTATGTTCAGTGCTGTTAAAGGTGTCCGAAGCCATCTGTAATATCTGTAAAGTCAGATGAAGTACAAGAGGCGTAAGAGGACTGACCTTAACAGCTTTGTTGAATTTAATGCAGAAGTCTTGAAATATTCGGAAACACTCATCCAACTTGAAGGTGTCCTTGTCTTCACAAAAGAAATCTATGAGCGTGTTCCCCTCTTTACGCAGGTCCAGCCTGCGTCTCTTTAAGTCCTGAAGGGTCTGTGCTGCGCTCTGAGAAACACAAAAGGGCATTTTTTAAAAAACACAATAGCTGTTTATAGATGTCATTATCTGGAGCTGCCGAGTTAGGAGCTTCAGAGCTGTGCAGTGTCCTGGATCCAGACTTCTGCATGTGTGTTACGTAAGTGCTGCTTCACCTGCAGAAAGGGCTCCAGCTGCAGCACCAACTCCTGGTCGCCTTGAACTTTCTCCTCCAAGGATCTGATTCGGACGTATAAGGAGGAAAACTCCAGCTCGATGTTTTCCACTGAAACTCTGAAAAGGATAGAAATGACGTTTAAACAGACAACAGTGACTTTTTGATGCGTCTAGTCAGAGACAGGACTGCTGTAAGAGCTTGTAAGGAAGGAGGGAGGAGTAAGCTTGGCTCTGTGGTGCAGGAGCTGCACTGACACCGCACAAGCTTGACCTTGTGAAACTCACAGAGCCCGACAGTCACACTGCGCTGCATGCACACGACCCTCACAGCACTGAGCATCAGTTTAGGTAATGATGCTTGAGTCTGCTGTGCACATGAAGACATTACACCTACAGGCACTTATAAACACATTTATTTAAATCTACAATAACTGACTCTTAGACCATGTGGGTAAACGATTATGGGGGACTTACAGACACTGCTGTCAATAGTTTAAATTGTTTAGTTTGGTACCAAAGGTCACCTAAACAGAGTTCCTACACTTTCTTGTTTTAAAATTTCAGACATTTCCTGACTTAATTCCCCTCTTTTTTAATTGATTTTTAGTCTTTAGTGACACTTGTATTTTTTTTACTTTATAGTCTGAAGAGTTCATGTATTTGGTAAGAGGTTCTTTTTTGTGAAACCATGTCCTGTTTTATAATAAAATAAAATAAAGCAGTCTTTGCATAGTGGTGAGGGTAATTTGTTGCTCACCAGTTGCAAAGAGTATGCAACATATGGCAATAACTTACATTTATAAAGCACATTTTTACATTTTGTTTTGTTTGATTGACAAGGTTTCTTACAAGTGTAAACAAACTATCACTAAAGAACCGTGCAAACATTTTGAGTCATTGCTCAAGTTTTTATCCTTTCAATCCAAAAAGCCAGATTTTGGGAGCAAAGTAAGATGAAATTATAGAAACTGCATTCCCAGTGAAAATGCAGTGTGAATACTTATTGTTGACGAATTTGCAGAAAAAATAGCTGAAATAAGCTTAAAAAAAGCTGAAATTAGCAAACAATAGCTGAAAAGTAGCTGAAAAGGCAGAAAAAAAGTTTAAACCAGCAGAAAAAAAATCTGAAAGTAGCAGAAATTACCACGAAAAACATGAATTTACCTGAAAACAGCAGAAATTAGCTAAGAATGTTAAAAAAGGTAGCTGAAAAGTTAGAACAAGCTTAAAGTAGCCGAAGAAAGCAGAAAGAACACGTTTGCCCAATTATGCTGCAAGAAGCAAAAGTTAGCAAAAAAGGTGGAAATTATCTGAAAAAAGCAGAAAATTGAAAAAACAAAATAGCTGAATATTAGCTAAAAAGGCTACTTTTTACTTTTTTAAGCTACTAAAGAAGCTTAAAATTACAAAAAGGAAGTGCATAGAGCACAATTGTGCCCAATTAAACTGAAAGAAGCAGAAATGAGAACCAAAATGTGAAGATTATCTGAAAAAAGCAGAAATAAGTAAAAGAACTACTGAAAAGTAGCTAAAATAGCAGAAATAAGTTAAAGTTACTGATAGGAAGTGGAGAGAGCACATTTTTGCTAAATTAGGCTGAAAAAAGTTGAAATTAGTGCAAAAAATGTGGAATTAGCTGAAAGTTCTCAAATTAGCATAAAAACAGCTTAATAGTAGCAGAAATAGCAGAAAATACTGAAACTAGCAGAAAAAACTAAACGGCGTATAACAAGCTGAAATCAGCAGAAAGAATATCCTGATGCAGCAGAAAGAAGTTAGAAGCACAAAAAATATTGTAGTTAGCAGAATTAAGCAGAAACAAGCACAAAACTGCTGAAATTAGCTGAAAGTGGTTGATTAAAAAAAAAATTGCACAAGGAAGCTGAAAGAAGCTGAAGCAGAACAAAATGTGAAAGGAGCAATAAAAGGTTGTAAACAGATCTAAAGATCTGAAGGATGTAAAATGAGCTCAAGTCATTTTCTATTAGAAAAAAATTACAGAAAAGGCTAAATATTTCAAAAAGCTAAAGTTGTACCAATACCAAAAGTCATAGCACCCTTCTCCTGAACGAGCTGAACGTTTTGATATACGATTTGTTGAAATAGCACATAAATTGTGGGAACAAAAAGGTGCTGAAAAATGTACAGAAGAAGTAAAGAACCCGGAATAATAAATATAAACAGGATCACAATAGTGTGAATATTTTATAAGCATTCCACACAATTAGAGATGATTTAAAACTTTTGCACAATGTCCATATATCCATATTTGATATAATTTATAATAAATCGAAAAACTATTCTGCTGTTGGAGCTTTTGATTTTAGAAAAACAGATTTTTATTTGTAGAATACAAATAACTCAAATGTTTTTCATACTCCCATTTTCAATGTTTCACAGTTTTTACGACCTGGAAAACAGAAATTACCAACTTTGGCAGACCTTTTAAAGACTGAGTAGAAACTGCTTAAATTACTCTTCCACAATCTGAACTCTTGTCTTTTATTTAGCACGCATATAGAAACAGATTAGCATCTAGGATAAATTAATTACTTATTTCTCGTCATATTTGTAGTAGATCTTCGATGGTTCAACATTTTCCTTTGGAGAATTAACATAGATTTTCTTTAAGCTGTCAGGGAGTTACATCAATGCATCACGAGATACCAGCTAGTGTCTCTTCCCCATGAACAACTCTAACAAAGCCAGAAAACACGAGACGGTAGATGCAGAAAAGCTTCTCTGTTGGGTTTGTCACTACAGTCACAGTAAAAGGTTTGACGCATTCTCCCTGCAGACTTGTACCTGAACGTGATCAGAGTATTCCAACACAGACTGACAATGACAAACTTTTATTTTTAATCCAAACAACAGAACAGAGTTCTCTCAGTTTACCTGGCTGCACTTTGCACATGCTGAAGTTTGTCTGGAAACTTGAGCAGCAAAACATCTTTCTTCTTTGCCTCCTGTGTGAAAAAAACAATAAAGAGTTGACATGAATTGCTGGTTAGTGTTGCAGAAGGTAAAGCAGCATCTAGGCACTCATTTTTATGTAGTCATGTATAACTGTTTGGACAGAAGAAGATGACTGCAGCTGATCTGGCCTGCTCAGGCTGTCGCCTATGAGAAGGTTTGCTCCATGTCTCGAGCACTCAGACTCTTTTGCTTAGCAGACTGGATCACAAACTAGATGTGATTTGTGAGAATCGTAGGCCATATGCGGCCCCTAGGACTCACTGACAAGTTGGATCAAATCTTAGGGAATATTCTCAGGCACGGACCAGTCGTGTGTCCACTTAATTTGGACTTTTCGGAATCTACGTGAGACCAGCAAAGACTCGAGACAGATAAAATTCTGTAAAGTTCTGCCTGCCTTAAAACAAATGTTGTTCATCTCTATTTGGCTCCCTCGGCTGGACTTGCAGGCCACCTTATCTCAATTCACCTGGAGGCTCTGTAATCTGATGCGCTGCCTCCCTCCCGCCCAGTGAGGAAGTCCACGGATCAACCAGAGGGAACCAGCTGAAAAAACATTGTGTCATCATTTCAGGACTCCTGGATTCTCACTGGCGTTGTCCTTGGCCATTCCCCGACATCCCTTGAGAATGCTTTTGGGTCGCACCGAAGGGAACTGATGATTATTCCATCCTTATCAGAACTCCTACAGTGCCTCCGGGAGCGTCCTTGGACACTCTCACCACCCTTGTAGTCTCTCTCCCCTTCTGCAGAATGTCTACGTCACCATGTGCTTCCATGTGTGGGGTGTTTTTCAATATTAGATTCTTCCTTCTCAGCCAAGAAGAAAGAGTTTGATAGAAGTTTTTTTGCCTCCAAATCCTACATGTGTTCACGTTCACTACTTTTTGTCTGTCTAAGCAGGTCTCACTTGTAAATGAGTCTTCGAGGCTCAATGTGAGATTTATATGTCTAAATAAAGGTTGACCGAATAAATGAATGAATGAATGAATGAATGTTTGGCCAGATGGTTTTGGCTCTTTATTGCTTCCTGACACCATCTACTGTCTACATCCTTCCCGGTCACCACGAAGGTCGGGCACTGTTTTCTCAAGCACCTCACCGCAAACTTTTCTTCTTCCACCTCACATTGTGGCTGAAGTTTTATCTGATTTGACTGTGAAAGTGAGGACAACACCGGAGATTTCTTCTAAAATATGTCTTCTATGAAAGTTGAACAATGAGTTAAAACACATTTGCAAATTTCACTTAGTTTTCTTTGAATTTGTTTTAACCTTTATATATATATTTTATTTTAAACTTCATGTACAAAGATGTTTACCCATAGAAATACAGAAATATATTTTCATTGCCAACAAAAAAGTGTTCTCTTTGAAATCTACTTGAGCTATTTTGGTCTTCTTATGCTTCATTTAGTTTTTAGCCATGGTTTTGCTCATTTTAGCTTTTAGCTACGATGCTGCTAATTTAAACATTTTGCTACTTTTAGTTTTTAGATCAAATTTAGCTGATTTTTGCTTTTAGCTGCTGTTCTGCTGGTTTTAGCTTATAGCTGCTGTTCTGCTGGTTTAGCTTTTAGCTGCTGTATTGTTAGTTTAAGCTGTAGGTGCTGTTCTGTTTGTTTTTCTTTTGACTGTTTTATTGATGGTTGTAGCTTTTAGCATCTGTGTTGCTGGTTTTAGCCTTTAGCTGTCCAATTTAGCCAGTGTTCTGATAGTTTCAGCTTTTGTTCTGCTAGTTTTACTTCACCAAACCAGTTTCAGTTTCTTCAACAAACCAGCAAAGTTGCTCAGCAGCATCCACGCTGAGAGTTTGCAGAAGAAGTACAGTAGTCCCTCGCTACTTCGCGATTAGACTTTCGCGGACTCGCTCTATCGCGGTTTGTTGGATGTACAGTACCAGTACATAATATTGTACAACAAAAAGAAAACATTGTTCAGGACACAAGATTGTCAACTTTAATATTACTCACGTGATTGGGACAGTACTGGATACAGTACTGTACGGTAAAAAGTTAACGAAAAAATAAAATACTTTGGACAAGCGCCGCCATTTTTTAGTTTTCTCTCAGTAATCCGCTACTGTATTCCGCTCATAATGACCACATTTCCCAGAAGGCAACAGGGCCCCACCCAGAGGCCCCCCTACTTCTGCTGAAAAACCAGCGGTAAAGTTTTGATTTGATCAGCACCCCGCGGATGCAGAGAAGCTGCACTTAACTCACCGAACCGGACCAGAACCAGACCTTCAGACCCATCGGTGACTCGAGAGCTGGTAGCCGGCCCACATGGACTTCCAAGCACAAACGTGCACCGAAAGCTACAGAGCCGTTTCTGTAGCACATCGGGACATTTCATCCAGACTTGGACTCAATCCACCACCTGCGGTCCCACGCCGGCCAGCAGAAGGTCTGCCCTCTCCACTAATGTGCTTCGGCGCTCAACAGCTGCACTGAAATGGACCAGAACCAGACCTCCAGACTCAGCGGTAAACCAGAGCGCTCTGGGGACGTACTTGTAAGTAAAATTTAGTAGCTACATAAATGCATGTTGTTACAATTAGTAGGTTTAGGAGTTTAGAAGATTGATTGTGGGCTTCATCGCTGCAAGTTACGTCTGCAGAAACGAATTGAGTCGGACGGAACAGAGTCGGACCGGAACGAGAACTGCTGTGTTCTGCAGAGCTGGCAAGGAAAATTTAGTAGCTACATATACAGTACTGTACGTATGCTGTTAAAATGACGTAGGTGTAAGAGTTTAGAACTTTGCAAGAGGGTGGGATGGGTTTCTAAAGCCTTAAAATATTTATAAATACTAAAATGAACAAAAGGTCCCTAATTCATGGTTTTTCACTTATTGCCATGGGGCGGAGATAAATGAGGGATACAGTAATTTGTTTCTAGTTCTCATCACATTGAACTAAATTGTGACATTTGACCTACTCCTGTAACAACAGCTGAAACTTTATCATCTCTGAAGCCCCTTTTAATTGTTGGATTACCTAAAATGGACATTTCTAATTAGCAGTTAATAGTTTTAGGCTCAACAGACCATGGCAACAAAATGCAGCAGGTTCATTCCAGGTTTGTTGGCTTTGGTGTCAGCCAGCGAGAGGAGAGATGACAGTTTAAATCCCACAGCGTTTCCTGCGTAGCCGCCCTGTAAACAGAAGCACATTTAACAAAAACAAGAACTATCAATTTTCCAGCAAGACAAAGATGTTAACAGAAAAGGCTAAAGATATATAACATATTTTCTAAAGTAAACTTCAGCTGGTCTTCAAATATTACTATTAAGGGGAGTAAATCGTGAAAATTATTTGTAACCATAACCTGCGGTTTGATTTGAGGATTCTGTTCCAAAATGAAAATAAAAGTGTTTGAGACAAAGTTACAGAAGTTAGAAGTATATATTTAAATAATAATAATGCACCTCGGTTTTATTCATGTAGTACTTTTCAAAGTGTTTATTTAAGAAAATAGGCAAATGGAAAAATAAATTACAATAAAAATCTAAATTAACCAAGAAAAAAAAAAACACACACTAAAAAGTAGAATATTAAATGTAAAACTGACACAATAACATTTACAATAAAATAGTAAGTAGTTTTTTTTTTTAATAAAAATAAAGAAACGCAGGCTAATCAGAAAAACTGTTGCAGTGTTTCCATCAGGGCTGACATGTGAAGCTCTTTTAAATTAAAGTTTTTGGTTTGGAAAGCACTGAGGCTGTTGGTGTCCCACACCCAAGCAGGTTGTTGGCTTTAGAGGACAGTTAATTTTTTTAGATAACATTTATTTTAAAAATAAAACAACTCGACTTCTTTTCTGTAGTTCAGCTGTTTTATAACCAATCAGCGCTTGCACACCAGAATCCTCGTGCTGTTTAAAGCTTGAAATGCCGAACTCTCCAGTTTTGAACTGAGAATTCTTACAGGAAGCGAAACAGAACATCATGAAGTCCAGGAATTTTTATTAACAAAAAAATTTTTTTGAATTTGACCTAGATGTCTGAGATTCTACACCAGCACTAAACTAAAATGAACATTTATTAGACCCAATATAATCTAATATTTAAAGCCACACATTTAGGGATGTTATTTTGATGTTGGAGCCTTACAGCGTTCATGATGTTTCCTGCCTGCAGCACCAGATGAAGGATGGCATGCAGCTCCTCACAGCTCATCAGCTCTACAGAAAGATAAACTCAAATAATGACTACACAGCAATATAATTACACAATATTTTATAAACAGTCCACACTACTAAACAGGAAACCTGACAGTACTAATTAGGGCTCATTTTCAGATTCATCAATAGTTAAATGTATCATAAATTGTTTAAATTAACTGATAATAACAACAATGAAAAGGTGATTCAAGAAGGGTTTGGATTCAAAGGACAAAATGTAAACAAAACATAAAAAGATAAATCTGTGTGGTTCAATTGAAATGTCAAAGAGCTGTAGAAAAAAAAAAGATTAAATGCGTAAATTTGAAAAGAAGGTAAAGTTTCTTGGTCGTTCTCTAAATCCTTAGAACGTGTGGATTAAAGTGACTAGATCTCATCCAAGCAATTCTCAAAGAAAAAGCAATGTTTGACTTTAAAAGAATGAGTATAATGAAAAATACTAATACACATGCATTAATAAATGGCATGTTACAGACTGATTCAATGAATTTATAATGCTTTATATATTTTATTTAAATTCAACTTCCCAACTTTCATCTGAATGAACTTTTGTGTTCCTTTATTTGAAGTGCATTGTTTTTTTAATATTAATATTCATATTAAGACATGCCATCTTACTGAGAAAACCCCCTGCAATATATAATTTAGTTAAATAAATCACTCATTTATTTTGTATTAAAAAAAGAACACTACAATGAGACTTCTTGTTCCATTCTGGCTCCCACATGACACCAAACTGTGTCACACGGTCCTGCATTTTGTGGACCACTTGTGAAAGCTCAGATTTCCGGGTCACCTGTTTGATTGAGTGCCTGAAGCAGAACCGGTGCACCATTACCTTTAGTAGCAGCACGGATGATGTCGATCTCATGGCCCATTGCAGCGCAGAAGGGCAGGAACTCCTCGCGGAGGACCATGGCCTCGATCCGAACCTCGAACCTGTCAGACGGATCAGAGAAGGCTTAAATATAACACGACTTAAAGTGATAGTTCAGATCTTCTCAATAAGTTCTGTGGAAACTTTATGAATAATTACCTTACCTGTTATAGATGTCTCTTCTGACCAATATAGAGGAAATGTTTTATACCCATTGGATTGCTGAGCTAATGGCTTGACAGAGAGGCTCAGACCAATGTGGTCAGTGTGTCGATCTAGAATCCTATGGTTATTTGCAAGTTTAAATAGTAACAACAGCAGTTAGCTGTAGTATCTTGGTGCTGCCTAAAGCATTTAAAGTAAGAATGTCATTCTGCTGTTGGAATAACCATGTAATGTGAAACTGATGACAGTGTAAGATAAGTTCTATCTTATTTTAGTGCAGAGGTTTATAAAACAACGCATGTTTCATATCAATATCCAAAATATGGGACGTTCTATTAATGATTGATCTTTGTTTCATTTCAGTGGACTCATTGTGTGCTTCAGTCCACTCAATATGCATTTTTTTCCCTCAATGAAAGCTCCTTTGTGTTCTGTGCATCCCTTGAATTATAAATCATTTGCTGTTGGAGAAAATGTGTGCTTACAAAACTGACCAATTTTTTGTTACAAAATGCAAAAACTTGTGCTTAAAGCGTGTATTTCTCCAGTAATTATCAAATACAAACACACGATTCAGCGCAGAACTAACAGCTCAATGGAAATTCCCCACAAAATTATGTAATTTTATACATTTCAGTGCAAACTCTATTATCTTCTCACTGTCAAACTGCTGACTTCAGATCACCTTTGAAACCAACTTACCGTGGAACCTGGATTAGGAGGTACATAAAGGAGTCGACCAGTGTCAGCTTGTCTGGATCTCCTTTAAACACTTGTAGCTTCTTGATCTGCAGTGAAAATAAAAAGAAGGAGGAAGTGCAGCACATAAACTGTCTTTTAACGATCGTTCCGCTATTCACGCTTTCGTACAAAGTGTCCAGACGGATAAACAAACAGACCTCCTCCGAATCAGGCAGGAGCTTTAGCAGGTCTTTGAGAAGTTCGGCTCCATAAATCTTTCCCTCCCCTCGTCGTATGTCTTCAACAATGGCACGGTTGGACCTGAAAGACAGCCAAGTTGTTTCATTCAGGCTAAAGTTTAAGTTGTACAGGTGCACAATGAGAAAGCAAAGCTCCCATGTGCTTACAAAGCCATCTAATAAACCTGATCTATTAGGGACTGTTTTTTAGGTAGTTTCATATGGTCAATGAGGATTTATCCAGTTTTATAATGTGATATTGTCAGCTGAGCTCAACTCAAATAGTCTCTTCTGTGCATTTGAGTGTTTAAATAAACTTTATTCCCAGTCAATTATTGTAATATCTTTATAAACGTGTTGAAACATTTCTAGGTTTGTCATCATGCAACACAATGTCCAGTTACAACATTGCAACTATAAAACAAAAGTGTCACACAAATATTTAGTACTACTGCATGAAATCTCAAACTCAGCACAAGCACCTCTGTAATGCAATCATCCTTTACAGTGTTAAGTACTGATATCTAGTTTAGTCTGTATTTGAATTCAGTTTAATTTGTTTATATTGCACCAAATCGCAACAGAAGTCATCTCAGGCAAGCTCTGTGGTAGCTAACCATTCATTAGAGATAAATTAAGCAGATCCAAGCTATTGATTAAGGGAAGTACTTCTTTAAATAGTCTGGTTGGGATGGGATCTAGCAGACATGTGGATGAAGCTATTATTTTTGACAATTCAAAGAGATCAACAGGACAAAAACAGTCCAAATATAAATCAGGTTCTAGTGACATTTTTAAAGTTGCCTCATCTGACAGGGAACCAGAGGCGATAGTAGGAAGGATGTTTTGAATTTTCTCCCTAATTGAAATACCAGTAATTTTATTTATAAAGAATCTCATGAACTCATCACTGCTTATGCATTCATGAATCAAAAGAGATAGGATTTTTCATTAGACTAGCTATGGCACTGAAAAGGAACCTGGGG